CCTCTGTCCAGTGCCTGCCGTTACAGAGAGTTGTCATTTGAAACAGATCAAGCGAGATCGTTTTTTCCTCACAAAGAACACTTGTAGCGGAAGTACAGAACCTCTTTCTCCAACAGGCAGAAAGGGGGTATAGCAGTGATCAAAATTCCTGAACGGTATAAAGATCAAGATCATACCGTTAATTCGGTGCGGCTGTCTGTCGCCGAGCCTCGGCGGTGCTGCGGGGCATGAGGGAATGTCATTATTACAGAGCGTTATTTCTGCTCCCCAGCACTGCAGACTTGAGCTGATGGCCAAGCGGCCTCAGGTTAAGTATCTCTAAAGTGAGAAACTGCTGTGGGGAGGAAACTTTGCCCGTTTTCATAGCTTAAATATGCATTTCACAGTAATTTCTATTTGTTTAAGTTTAAATTCTGCTGGGGATGGGGTGGGGTGGGGGGAGGTTCCCTTTTCCCATGTTGGGCAATGGGAAACTTCTCACTGGAGTTGGCTGGAAGGTTTATCCTCTGACTGCAACAGAGCCCTGCTTCTGCCCAGGCTGTTACTGGTGGGAGCCTTGAAAAGATACGGATTAGCTAGTTAGGTTTTAGTTAAATGTTGGGCTTTTTTTGTCTTCAAAGTTGACAAAACTGTTATAAAGTAGAACAGCTGAGCTTTGGGTAAGGGATTAGGCCTGCACAGGTCTATGCTCACATGCTTTGCACTTGTGACACCATTTTTAGAGGAGGTGGTTACCGAGATAGAACTTTAAAACCTCACCCCTGTAAATACGTACTTCACTCGTGCGTTCACTTACTGATCCCATAAAACATCAGAGCTCTATGGCAGTCACTCTAGAAAAAGGGGCTATTTTACTACATTTCTTATAGATCAGGGCAGTACTTGATAAGTGTCAAGGAAAAAGGGAAAGGAAGGTGTAAGTGTATGTGGCTGTGAGAATGAAAGAAGGATTTTCTGGCTTCTGCTGAATTTGTTTCGTCCTCCTTATTCCTAGGGAACAGCAGGACCAGATCCAACAACAGTCTACGTAGATATGAGAGCACTTCGACATGACAGGTACAGATGATGTTAAAGCATTAACTATTTAATGGCCATTGAGGAGAAAGTTCAGCCTTGTTGCATTGCATTGATATGCTGAAATATTCTTGGCAGCAGCTAATCCCTCATCACCACATACAGGGAACCCACCCTGGAGAATCCTTTAGTGGTGGCTGTGTGCTAGAAGGGGTCCGGCATCTCCTTCTCCCTGGCTTGTTCTGCTCTTCCTTTCTACATCCTCACCTAACTTGCTGCCTGTTCATCAGACTTGTACAACCTAGACTCGTTAGCTCTTTCTTAGCTAAACAGGCCATTGGCAAAAGGTGACTTTGCCAGCTGTCTGGTTGGTCACAGAATGGGGGTGGGTAGGATCTCTGGATGTCGTCATGCAAGCTGCTGCTGAAAGCAGGACCAGCTTCAAGGCTTTTCATCAGGTTAGTGAGGGCCAGCACCAGTTCAGTACAGAAAGTCTGCAAGAATGGAGATCCTTCCCCCCTCCGGGTGTGTGCGCCGAGACTGGCACCGCACTCTGGAGAAGTTTTCCTTACTGGCATTTCCCGTGTGGTGTATTATGCCCCTGGTCTCTTCTCCTTGTGGTGTGCAACTCCAAGAAATCTGGCTCCATCTTCTCTCTAACAATCCTTTAGGTAGTGGAAAAAGTAGTTTGAGTCTGTAGTCTCTTCTTTTCCTTCAGACCAAACCAACTCCCTCAGCCTTCCCAGATCCAATAAATTGATGTCAGGCCTGTCCTACAGCATATCAGCACACGCACACATGTACCCACATCATCTGGAAACTTGCCAAGGATACATCGTTCCATCAGGCTTAATTCTGTAGTCATAAATTTCATATTAACGTGTCTCTCGGTTAACTTAATTAATACGAGTGCTCTTACCGGTCCTACTGCAGTGTGAATAACGCACCATAGCTGGTTGGCGTGACAGTTTGGTCAGTGCAGCTGAGGGTAGGATAACGCTGGATCCACTGGAACACAGCCATTTACCTTCTACTTTAAATTCATAAATCCTTGTACAAATGCGTTCTCTTATTTTCTCAGGGTGCGTTTGGTAGAGAGAGGTTCTCCGCACAGTCTGCCACTTATGGAGTCTGGGAAGGTGAGAGATTGAGGGCAATCCTTCCTCCTCATGACCCTTACCTGGGTGGTGAGCTGCGTCAGCTGGATCTCGGTACAGGATCTGTGCGGGGAGCTTCACTAAGCACGGTAGGGTTAGGAGAGGCACTAGGGAGGGTGAAATGAAGTTAAAAGGAAGCCAGGTGCGTGAAGTGAAGCAGTGGGAAGTTTCTGCAACTAAAAAAAAATTGGGTCTTCATGGGGTGTGAAACCAACTTCAGCTCTGAAGCTGCAAAACAGCTGCTTAGAGTTTAAATGATTAAACAACTTGGTGGGAAGAGATGGTTGGTATCTGTGATGTAGAGGCAGGGGAAAGTGTAGCATAGGCTGCTGACTTCTGTGCCTCTGCATTATTAACTTTTCTTTTGATGAATTAAAATTCTCACCTTCTATTTTAAATGTTTGCTGCTTATTCAAGATTCTTCCAGGGGTAAAGGTCATCATAGCGCACACAGAAACCAAGGGACCTCTGGGAGACTCGCATTTAGGAGAGGTAAAGCTTTGATGCTGTTGTACTTTATCAGCAGTGATTGAACATAGACATAAATGCCTGTCTCTTAGTGGGATGGCCACAACGTGGCAGGGATGGCCACATAATGTGGCAGGTGAATGAACTGCGGAGAGCTGGAACCGTTCACATACGTGTATGTATGTCTGCGTGGTTACCTCCCTCCTCTGCCAAACGGCTGCCTGCCGATATCGGGCGATGTCTGTTGACTAGTCTGCCTGATGGGCAGCCAGAAAAGGCAGTGAGTATCTTAGGTACTCCATCAGGGGACAGTAGCAAGGAGGTAATTTACTCTTTGGTTTAATCTTTGCTTTATATACATCTGGATTTGTATACTGAGATGCCCAGCTAATAGCAGGTTGCAGGTTAACAGGTGTTCCTTTCCTTTCCAGTAGGCCAAATGCCTAGTTCATTTTTGTTCTTTGCCATCCCCAATTACATGTATATAAAAATCCTTTTTCCTGATAATTTTCTGTGAAGTAGAAGTTAATAAATTATTTTAATATAGCTACTACTGGCTTTTTAGGAGAAAAAAAAGTTGTCAGTGGAACAGATCTTTTAAAACAATAAATTGGTTTTGGTTTTTAATCCTCTAGATATGGGTGAGTAGTCCGCACAATGCTGCCGGCTACTACACGGTGTATGGGGAAGAAGCACTGCACGCGGATCACTTTACTGCGCGCTTGAGTTTTGGAGACACTCAGACCGTGTGGGCTCGGACTGGGTACCTTGGCTTTCTGCGCCGAACAGAACTGACCGATGCTAGTGGAGGTAAGAGAAAACAAATGGACAGAAGCATGTGTTTGAAACTCCTTGGGGTAGTTCAGCTAGCTGAGCAAACACTGTCCTGCAAGTTTATCCAGACTTCCATCAGAGAAAAGTGCTGACTGTAACAGGAATTAGTATGGCAGGCTGGCTAGTATTCCAGGATCTTCTCCTCCAAGCTCAGGAGTGATGCATGCCAATGAAGAGGAAGTCGGATAAAAATTCCAGGAGGCCTGTGTGGATGAACAAGCAGCTCCTGGACAAAGTGAGGCGCAAAAAGGAAGCCTACAGTGAGTGGAAGCAGGGACAGGGAGACTGGGAGGGTTACAGGGAAGTTGTCTGAGAAGTCAGGGATCAGGTTAGGAAAGCCAAAGCCCTGATAGAATGAAGAGGAGAGCAGTTTGTTGAAGGTGCAGACTTTTGTTGAGAAGCTACCCCATCTGTTACAGCGGATACTAGTCCAGGGATCAGAAATGGTCCGTGATGTAACTGTTGTCTGAGGTTGCTAACACAGGGTCATTCTCCAGCCTGGTGTGCTGGTGTGCTATTCAGTCTCCCTGGGGTTCTTGAGAACAAGAAAGGGAGATGCTATTGCTCTGACTGGAGAGATTCTGGCAGCCCACTCAATTCCATCTCCTCCGGAGCAGCATTGTGCAGGCTTCCCTTTTCCACAGTCAGAGTGCCATCAGAGAGCAAAAGGCCAGTTCTGGTAAAGAGAGAGTCTTCGTCAGAGACGTGTGGTATCCTTGGCTCACAGCCACCGCGTTACCCAGAAGGGTCCCTTCCTGGCCCCAAGCCTTCCCACCCCTTCAGCCTGCTTAGTACACTGAGCAGCTCTGTGTTGGCCCCCTCCTCCTGAGTCTCTTCCTGAGCTTCGTTAACCTAGAAAAGCTAAGGCTGAGGAGGGGATAGAGCTGTTCTTGCTGCGTTAAGCGTGGGGAACTTAAGCTGAGAAGAATGTTGCTGGCATAAGAACAGGTGGGTATAAGCTGGTTTTATAAAGAAAAGAAGGATAAATTTGGAAATTGGAAGTGTTCCTGTCAATCCGAGGAGAGTTGTTCTCTGGTAAGAACAGTGGGACAAGAAGATGCTTTAAGAATGGGGTTTGATCGGGTTTATAAACTGAGATTATGTTATGAGAGAGAAGGGGGAGAATTGGATGACCCGGACATTGTTTTTAGTCTGATTTCATTTGCTTGGAGTCATTAGGCAGAAGTGACCTCTTAATTGTCTTCTCTCCAAACGGTAGAACTTGATGTGTATTAGAGACTCCTGCTCCTAGGAAGCACCAGGAGCATCTTAGAACGTCAGGAATGAGCATTGACAAATGGAACGCGTTTGATCTGTAGCTCTGATGACGTTGTAAGTGTCTGTGCTGTATTGCAGAGAGGCACGATGCCCTGTATGTGGTAGGCTCCTTGGATGAAACGCTGGAGCTCAGAGGAATGAGGTACCACCCCATTGACATAGAGACCTCTGTGATAAGGGCACACAAGAGCATTGCGGAATGGTAAGAGCCTCAGTATTCCTCTTCTGTATTCTTTTATTTCTTGTAAATCAGCAGGAGTCAAGCTTTGTGGAACAGCGTTTTTTTTTTTGTAGGGGGAACTCACCAGAGAAAGGCCACCCCTGTATCGGAGTTCGATCTTGGCAGCCTGAAAGGCAGGGAGGGGAGGGCGTGGATGGGGCAGCAGGGCACCTGGAGTTGTGTTGTTGAGTTCCCTGGCTGTGTCAGAATGTACGTGCTTGGATGTGGTCAGCACATCTCAAGGATTTCTTGAATGGGATCTTCTGCCCTAAACAGTCTCATTTGGTCCTAACGGATGACATAATGCCAGTTGGCCGAGGTCCTCCCCAGTCTCAAAGTAGTCGTGTTTACTGGTAATCTTTGGGAGGTTTTGTCTTTCCTTTAATATCTGTGAAGATTTACACAAGTACATGAATATGCACACAGTGAGTGTGAAATCTTAATGCCTCCCTTTTCAATTCCTAAGAGCAAAGGACTCATAAAAACACAGCTGTACGTACACCAGACCCAGTTACATTTTGCAGGTGGACAGTTAAAAATCAAGTGGCAGAGAAGCTGCTTGGGGGTTAAACCGGCATGATATCCCAAGCAGTTACAGCTTTAATACCTCTTGGTTGACGCCTATTTTCACGTTACTGTCATGTCACCTGTGCTCGTTTGCTGCACTGTTAAGTCCTTACAAAGGACATTGCGGGTGAGTCCCTCTCGCGTAACTGACGTCCCTTGACTGTGTGTTTCCTTCTCACCGTTAATACCGTGTCATGCCCGCAGCGCTGTGTTTACATGGACCAACTTGCTGGTGGTGGTCGTGGAACTAGAAGGCTCGGAACAGGAGGCGTTGGACCTGGTCGCGCTGGTGACAAACGTGGTTTTGGAAGAGCATTATCTCATCGTCGGTGTCGTCGTCATTGTGGACCCCGGTGTTATTCCTATCAATTCCCGTGGCGAGAAACAGCGAATGCACTTGAGAGACGGATTTTTGGCTGATCAGTTGGATCCTATTTATGTTGCCTACAACATGTGAAGACAGAAAATCACGTCAAGGCTGAAGCACCAAAATCAAGGGACTTGCCAAATAGTAACATTGGAATCCATTTTCTGTGTTTTTAAAAGCTGTTGGAGACCTTAGGGAAGTGGAGACACACACCTTCATCTCTCAGACTGCATTTGCTTTCGTAAATCCGTTGTAACAGTTACAGCTGCCTTGGGATGGAGAGTTTACTGAAATTCCTGAAGGAAGCTTGTTAGAACCATCACGGACCCATGTTTTCGTACAGCAGTTATGAATGTCAGTACCTGATGCACTGCACGGAAGGACACAGAGCAGGGTGGGGAGAGAACACCGGCTGTGAGGAGGACTCCTGGAAATAGTACGGAAAGTTGTGAGTAACCGTTGGGAGTTCACGCTCCGTGTGATTGCGTGCAATACATTGGCAGGACCTGGGTTGGGATGTAGTGTTCAGGATTGCACACGTCTCTCTACCATGTTCTCTACTGTACTGAACGGAATTTTGCACATATTTGAGATTTAAAAATGCAGCCTTTTCACTTTAAATCTCCAACTCATCCCTGTTCTGGAGAAACAAACCCATTCCAATCCGAGATTCGGCAGAACAACTGTTCTGCTGCTGTTCAGCTGTTTTGTACCAAGCAAAAACAAAGGCTGCAGCTGTAACGAGGTTACTCACCGTGCCATGCTGGACTCCGCAGTGCTAGAGACTTCATAATAAAGTACCAGTTAATAGCCACTTTAACTCCTTGGTGCAGGAGCCTTTACTGCTCTTGCTGGTGTAACTTCGTGGTCAAGTCGCTTGTTTTCATAGCGTTAGCTGTTAATTACCGCCCTGCGTAATGCCGAGTATTCGAAAATTCCATTCCAAAGCCAATAGTCTCTGAATGATTCCTAGAAACGTTTACAACGCATGGTCTTACAGTATGTTTTCCCTGAATATCCTGTGCTAAAACTTATGATAGTGATTTTTTCCCCCCTCCCACCTTTTTTCACCCCCCCCACCATGGAAAACATACTCGGTGTTCGTGAGCTTGATCTGCTGTGGTACAAACTTTAATTTTTTGAGTTGTGTTTAGACAGATCTTTTTTTGTTCAAGCTGAAATACCCGATGTTGGTTGAGTCAGACTTGACAAATTAAGGTTTGGAAGTTTCTGCCTGATCTAATCCTGCAGTGAACCTAATTCAGAACAAGAATGTGAAGTTACTCGAGTACTTCATGTATGCGAAGGTAAGCACGAGACTAGCAAATACTTATTTTTATAGAGTTGTTAAAAGACTTTGAGCTACATACAAATTTTTTTAATAATGCAAGAGTTTGGCAAAAGAAGCAGGTTTTTCTGCGAGGCGGTTCTGCCTGGATCAGTGCCTAAGACGGAGGTTAGTTTCCTGGTATAAGGATATCAAATTGACTCTTGGTCAAATAAACTACAAAATCTTCCGCAAAAAGCTTTCATGCATAGTAGTTCTTTGCCCTCGTGGTGTTTGACGGCGGTGTATTGTACAGCTGCATACTCGGACTGTAATTATGTACAGAACTCGTGTAAGTTATTAAGTACAGCAACCTCCAGCAGCGGGCGTCGGGAGGCTCCTCGTAACAAAACAGCTGGCAAACGGAAAAGAACTACCTAACCCCGATTTTAATGTTGTAGTGGTTTTCTTTTTTTAGCGAACGAAGCATTGTAAGATTTTTTTTTTTTTTGTATCGAGATACTGATGACGGTGGGACGAGCTGCCTTGTAAAGCTGATCTGCGACAAAAAGCACATTAAACATTTCAAAACTGCTCTTGAAAAATCTGCGCTTGGATAAACTTGGGCTGTTGGAGAAAGTGAAAGGTTTTGGTGGGCGCTCCAGAGTTTTCACCAGGGTTTTGGGCAGTTTAACGCATGATTAATGCTTGTTCAGCCTGGAGAAGAGG